TGGCCCGAGTGTCCACGTGAGTGAGACGAAGCTGACCACGCTGCTGCAACTCTCGAGCCAGGAAGTAACGCAGAGCGATGTGCTTCGTTCTATGCTCCAGTCTGTGCTCCTAACACAAGGCAATGGCAGCCTTGTTGTCTACGTACAGAATTGGAGGAGAACGAGGCCGCTCTCCCAAGTCGGTCAGCAGGTAGGTGAGCCAGCGTAGCTCCTGTGCAGCCATGGCTGTGGCGTAGATCTCAGCCTCACAACTGGAGCTGAGAACAGAAGACGAGCGAGTAGACCGCCAAGAAACATAACCACACCCAAGACTGAAATTGTAACCCTGTGACGACCGCTGCGTAGCCAGGTCGTCAACCCAAGACGCGTCTGAGTGTCCAGTGAGGACAACCTCACCCCGTCCTCCAAGCACGAGCCCCATGCCAGATGTACTGCACAAGTAGCGCAACACCCTCTAGGCAGCCTCCCAGTGCTCTCGCCGGTGTCTCCCAGGTGCAACGTAGCGAGCCAGGATGCTAAGAGGGAAAGCCAGGTCAGGTCGAGTGCAGGTCATCAGGAACATGAGGCAGCCCACAAGCTCTGGATACGGGCCACTCGGCTCTACGGACTCATCCGAAGGCAGAGCTGAGAGCGAGTGACCGGTAGCCATAGGAGTGGACTGTGGCGAGGACCAAGTAAAGCCGAAGCGCTGAAGGACCTGTTGCACCATGTGTAACTGAGTCAGGGTGATGGTGCGCCGTGCTCTGTCCCGGGTGATCTACAAGCCAAGGTAGCTGCGCAGCTCACCCAGGTCTGTGCACGTGTGTCTCTTCTGCAGCTCCGACTTCACAAGGGCAAGTGCCTCAGTGTCAGCAGTGGCAAAGACCAAGTTGTCGACGTACACGAGGATGTAGAACGGCGGCAGAGAAGTGTCGGTGCGCAGAAACAGCGACGGGTCCGCGGTCGACGGAGCAAACCCAAGAGCCACAAGTGTCGTCCTCAGTGTGTCGTGCCACTCACAAGGCGCCTGGCGGAGACCATAGACCGGCCGCCGGAGGCTCCACTAGGTACCAGGAGGAAACGACCCAGTGAAGCCAAGTGGGCGGCGCAGCCAGATCTCCTCGTGCAGGCTGCCCTGTAAGAAGGTTGTGCTGAAGTCAAGAGAGTGAAGCTCGTAGTCACGCTGAGCGGCAACGTGCAACAGCACCCGAAGAGTGGTCATCTTTGGGGTGGGGGAGAAGGTCTGGAAGAAGTCAACTCCTTGTCGCTGACTGAAGCCTCGTGCAATGTAACGAGCCTTGAAGACAGGCGGAGAACCTGGCGGCCGCTTCACCCTGAAAATCCACATGCCATCGACGATGTTCGCCCCAGGCGGGGGAACCTCGTCGACGTAGGTGCCTGTGGACTTCCAGGATGCCATCTCTACGTCCATGGCTGTCTGCCACTGAGAGGAGTAGGGACCCGAAATCGCCTCTGCGTAAGAGCGCGGGGTCGGGATGTCTGGTGCATCCGGGTCTCCCTCACGGGCAAGCAGCATGGCCACGAGATGAGGCGCAGCGGCTGCAAGACACTCAAAGTCCTCCTGCCTGTCCTCAAGGACGTCCGTGCCAAGAGCACACTCACCCCCGACGGACGGAGGACAGACAGAAGTAGACTCAGCAAACAAGACTAGCGGCGTGTTCGAGACGACAAGCAGCAGCAAAGTCAACAAGCTCAGCGACTAAGGCAGGCGGAGCAGCAGACTCAAAGGACGGGTCAGTGACAACAGTGGCCAACAGACGCGTGACAGTAGGGTGAGCAGCACGAACCTGGTCAAACTCAGGGTCCGGAACGTGCGGAAGAGAGGACGCAGGAGGAGACGGCAAGGGAACACGTTGTGGGACAGAGGAAGGACGAAGTGCCATAGTGTGCGTGCCAAGGGCAGGAGGCGGACACTCACGAGGAACGCGACGACTAGTGCGACTAGTGCAAGTAGGCGAGGCAGGACGAGACGCATGCTGACGACGCTCTGTAAGCGAGCCTGTCTGCTCAGCGTAAGGAGGAGGAGCAGGCAGGGGGGAGCCTGGCTGTAACGGGAGGCCAGTAGAAGACGGGAGGCTAAGAACCTGGCGAAGCACGGAGTCGGGCGGTGGTAGAGACAACGGTGACGACGGAGCGAAGAAAGGCCGCGGCTGAGCAGTGTCACCAGTACCAGTAGCTCCAGCGCCTCCAGCAGCAACAGAACCTCCAGCTCCAGCGCCACCGGCAATAGTACCTCCAGAACCAGCACCTCCAGCCCCAGGGTCGCCGGCCTCAGTACCCCCAACAGCTGCACCCCCAGAACCGGCACCTCTAGCCCCGGGGTCGCCATGTCAGTACCCTCAACAGCAGCACCCCCAGGACCGGCACCTCCAGCTACAGGGGCTCCAGCCTCAATACCCTCAACAGCAGCACACCCAGAACCGGCACCTCCAGCCCCAGGGTCTCCAGCCTCAGGACCCCCAACAGCAGCACCCCCTGAACCGGCACCTCCAGCTCTAGGGTCTCCAGCCTCAGTACCCTCAACAGCAGCACCCCCAGAACCGGTAGCTCCAGCTTCAGGGTCTCCAGCCTCAGTACCCTCAACAGCAGCACCCCCAGACCTGGCACCTCCAGTCCCAACAGCACCACCCGTCCTGGCAGCTCCAGTACCTCCGGTACGAGCACCTCCAGAACCAGAAACACCAGCACTCCCAGCGCCTCCACGACAAGCACCTCCAGCAGCTCCAACCGCAGCACCTCGAGCAGCCGTACCTCCAGCAGCAGGACCTCCAGCCCCAACAGCATGGTGCCTCAGCCGGGTGCGCCACGCAAGCCACTCTCGTAGCTGTTGGGGTGAGAGAGGCCCCCGCCGGGAAACAACACCCGAAGGAACGTCAGCAGACTCAGCACCTTCCGACCCGGCACCCTCCAGCTCAGCACCCTCAGACGCAGCACCCCTAGTAGCACCACCCCCAGCAGCACCACAGACAACAGCAACCGACTGCAGAGGCGGCGACGACGATCGCAGCGGGAAACCCGGAGGGGTAGGCAAGCGTGGTGAGCGGGTGGGCACCGCGGCGTCAGCAGCAACGCCACCCCCCTCAGTTGGGCCAAAGGTGTTAGAAGTAACCTCCAAAGGCTTAGCCAAGGGGGGCGGGTCTACCTGGGACACACCTGAAGGAGCAGGACCCTGAGGGGGGAGGGGGTCTACCGGAGGGGGACCTGGAGCGAGGAAAAGCGGCGGGGGAGGGAGAGGGGCAGTGCGGTAGGGGAAGAGACGGTAAAAAGGAACCGACTCGTCAAAGGTGTCGGCCTGAGAGGGGAAGACACGGCGCGAGGTGGGGTGGTAAAACTGCCAGCCAGGCGCGTCAGGGACAAAGCCAAGGAAGATACAGGGAATGGTGCGGGAGGAGAGCTTGTCCGCGGACGTATCGCGGACAAGGGCACGAGCACCCCAGACTCGGAAACGCGACGCATCGCCAACCTCTCCCGTCCAACGCAGTGTGGGCGAGGTGTCTGGCAAGGAGACACGGGGCCAGAGGTTGAGCTGATGCGCTGCGTATCGAACTGCAAATAGCCACAGAAAATGGGGAGCCGCCACATGGATCAAGGAGGTACGAGCGATCTCCATGACCAAGCCAATGCGGCGCTCAGAAACCTTATTTTGCTGTGGTGAGCCCGGAAGCGTGAACGACTGCTCGATGCCCTCCCCCTGACAGAAGGCCCGCAAGAGGTCAGAGGTGAACTCACCACCTCTGTCAGAGTGCAGACGTAGGACAGGAAGGTCCGTACGGAACCGGCGGCGGAGCTGGAGACGAACTGCTCGGATCCAAGGGATCAGGACAGCAGGGACCTCACCCTTGGTGCGCAAGGGGAAGACCGTGGTGTAACGCGAGTAGTCGTCGACAACCAGTAGAAAGTACCGCTCACTGCCCTGTCCACACGTCCAAGTGGAGGGTCTGCAGGGGAGCCTCTGTCTAGGAGTGAGGAGCGGCGCGCTGCCGCCCCTCGACGCAAGGAAGGCAGGGCGGCGCAGGCGAGGCAGGGAGGGGAGGGAGAGACCTGGGAAGACCAGACACAAGGAGGCGACGGTGCATGCCACGTAGACGTGGCAAGGAGGGGTGACCCAGACGGTGGTGCCAGAGAAGAGTCTGGTGTGACAGGGAGCGACACTCACAAGGGGAGGCTACCAGACCTGACGCAGACACCTGACTGACAGCAGCGACCTGAGGAGACACAGTCGTCAGTGTGTAAAGACTCGACCCTGGCCGACGAGTGAACGTGGCCAGGTGACGGCCAGTCCTGGAGCACGTACAGATCGCCACACGCTGTCCTCCAGGGGTAAAGGTATCAACCCACTGATCCTGGAGGACGGCGTTGCTCACCAAGTTCGTAGAGAACGAGGGGAGGTGAAAACCTGACAGTGAGCCAGACGGAACCGCCGGGCACGGAAGCACAGTGGTGGACCGTGCAAGGACTGGGCCCCCTGAGGGGTCAGCCAGAGCGACTGGAACAGGTGCAGGGAGTGGTGTGAGTGCGGTACTGTCACGGAAGAAACAGCGGGAAGCACCTGAGTCAAGCGTGAAGGTGTGCAAGGCCGCAGGAGGCACAGCACCTGAGCAAGCAGTCTCGCTTGCACCTAAAGCAGCAACCTCTATACCTGGGTGAGCAGACTCGCTCGCACCTAAGGCAGGCGGCACACACAAGTAACAGTTACGATCAGCACTATATTCCAATGCATAAATAGCAAAAATAATAGCATCAAAGTCAAGAGCAAACACGTCTACACCAGCCTTCCAAAGCTCATGCCAACGAGGGCGCTCACACTCCTTGCCCATCTCCTCACGCCAGGCGTCGTCAAGGCGGGAGAAGCAGCGGTGCTGGGTGTGGAACTTGTTGCACGTCTGACCCTTGCGGTCACCTGTGCGAATGACATAAGGGCAGCGACCACCACCCCCAGACTTCCCACGCTGAGCAAGCCACTCACGAAGCTGCTGGGATGTCTGGGGACGCTGCTGCTACTACTGGCTCTGGCCAGCGCCAGTGCCTCCACCCCGCCCGCCATCGCCGCCGCCACCACCGCCCCGGCCGCCACCGCCGCCACCACCACCTCCTCCGCTGCCACCCCCACCGTCGCCACCTCCTCCACCGCCACTACCGTCGCTACCACTCCATCCAGCACTCCCGCCACCAGCCCCTCCGCCACCTCCTCCTCCTCCACCTCCTCCACCTCCACCCCCGCCCCCGGTGCCACCTCCGCTACCCTCGGCTCCCTTTCCCTTGCCGTTGCGGCACCTCCCACCAGGAGCAGAAGCAACACCAGCAGACTCAGCACCAAGGATGTCAACGGTAGCAGCAGTAGCGAATGAGGGGGCGAGGGGAGAGGGAGAGCACCCCTCAAAGATGGGGGTGCGAGGAGCGCCACGAGCAGCACCTACAGCGACTATGCTCTTCTCTGCTGCGAGGAGGCGCTCCTCTAGGAGGTCAACAGTGAGGTCGGTGGGACAGCGAGCGAGAAAGTGGTCCCTGACCGAGCTAAGAGAGTCAGGGAGATGGGTGACTATGAAGTGGAGGGTCCAGTACATCGGAGGCGGGTTCTTAGTACAGATGTCTCTGGGGAGGGCAGCGCGAAGGCGAGTATCGCTAGTGCCAAGGTGGGTGATGAGATCGGCAACTGTGGCAAAGGTGGACAGCTCAGGAAACAGGTAGGGCAGCATGAAGCGACTTAGCTCAGCAGTGGCAGGGGAGGAGTATCGAGCAACTATAGCATCGTACAGGGCCTTAGCGGTTTTTTGCTCGCTAAAGTGCGTGAGTTCGTCTAGTGGTAGGTGATTGCAAACGGCTAGGCGGGCAGCAGCGTCACGAGTCTGCCACTGGGAACGAACGCTAAGTTCAGCTGTGGCAGCAAGAGCAACGGAGGCGCCAGACGTGTGGTCATAGAGAGAGACATTGTCTTTGCTATCGCTCATCAAGAACAACTGCAGGTCATCGAGCCAGGTGTCGAAATGAATCGGGTGGCCCTCAGCATCGAACGAGAGAACGCGGAGGGTGGCCATAGCTGCCGGCGCGGGACTAGCAGGGCAGAGCAAAGGCAGGCAAGAAGCAGCAGCAGGAGCGGCGCTCTAGAGCGTAGCAGGCAGCCGCGGCAGGGGCAGGCGGCGCACAGGGCTACAGGCGGCCGGCAGGGCAGCAGGGCAGGCCGCGCGCAGGGCGTAGCGGGCGGCTGCAGCAGCGGGTGGGCGGTGTAGCAGGCAGCCGCGGCACAGGCAGGCGGCGCACGGGGCTACAGGCGGCCGGCAGGGCAGCAAGGCAGGCCGCGCGCAGGGCGGTGCGTGCAGCTGGCAGGTCGCGCGGGCTGCGAGCAGGCTGCGTGCTGGCCAGTAGAGGCGACGCACGGGTTGCGCGGTGACGCACTGGTAGCCCATATGTCAAGAGGTCCAGTGGTGATCCCCGATGAAGGCCCTTTTATCCCATTGGTTAGTGGCTGGGATTCGGACATGGTATCAGAGCAAAGGTCTCGGGTTCGAATCCCGGTGTGTGCACCTCGGGCATCCCAGTGCGGGGGGGTGTCAAGAGGTCTACTGGTGATCCCCGATCGATCCTAGGGAAGGGTTACAGGCACGTTGGCCTGGGGGGTTATGGGCGCACTCACCCGCTACACAAACAAGCCATTTTATCCCAGTGGTTAGTGGCTGGGATTCTGACACCATAAAGGGTACAACCCAACCTAGGGTTAGTACTTGTACCCAACTTTCTGTTACCGTTTTTACCAGGGTAATAAACCCGGGGGTCTAATCCTACCCCGGGAAAAAAAGGGGGGTGGGGCTATTAAGTGGGTGTAAATCTTTTAGACCCAGGGTCTAATCCTATGTGCATTTAAAGTTTCGAATTCGAAGTCATGAAAAAACCAGTGTTCCAGCCCCAGAAGCGAGAGTTCCAATGTTGCGTCAGGGAAATTTTGACCCCACCCTGACGCGAGGTACCGTCATCACCCGGATATAAGACAGTGTTGAATAGAAGACAGGGGGTGTCTATTATCCGGGTGTCTCTTATAATCAGGGTAGCCTCATTATTGTTGAGAGAACTAGCAGGAATGATTGACTAAGGGATGAATGTGGTACAAGTACTAAAACCCTAAAGAGGTTGTACCCCTTAGTGCTACCCCACTGTAGCCTACACAACCTACAAAGCATATATGAGTTTAACATACCCCCATAGGCAAAATGGGGGAGAGCCAGTGGTCACAAGGTCAGTCAAACAAAGCAAAGCTCAGGGTGGATCACAACGTCACCACGCATTCTGAGCACAAGCAAGAGGCCACAAGGCCAGTTCACATGCAGAGAGATATAGAACAAAGCATTACAGTGATCACAACCTAGCAAAGGTAAGCATGCAAGGCTATATTTAAAGATCACAGTACAGACAAGGACAAGCAGTGAGCAAGTGAGAGAACGTGGGCACAAGGCCTATAGTAGTGCAATGCTACTGATGATCACTAGGCGGAAGTGCCTTGGTGAATATATCAGCGGTGTTGGCATGCATGTCCACGAACGCAAGACAAAGCTGGCCACGCTGCTAAGGCTCTCAAGCAAGAAAGTAACGCAGAGCGATGTGCTTCGTTCTATGCTCCAGTCTGTGCTCCTGACACAAGGCAAGGGCTGCCTTGTTGTCACCGTACAGAACTGGAGGAGAACGAGGCGGCTCTCCCAAGTCAGTCAGCAGGTAGGTGAGCCAGCGTAACTCCTGTGCAGCCATGGTTGTGGCGTAGATCTCAGCCTCACAACTGGAGCTGAGAACAGAAGAAGAGCGGGTAGACCGCCAAGAGACAGAGCCGGAACCAAGGCTGAAAGTGTAACCCTGTGACGACCGCTACGTAGCCAGGTCGTCAACCCAAGAGGCGTCTGAGTGTCCAATGAGGACAACGTCACCCCGTCCTCCAAGCACCAGCCCCATGCTTGATGTACTGCACAAGTAGTGCAGCACCCTCTTAGCAGCCTCCCAGTGCTCTCGCCTGTGTCTCCCAGGCGCAACGTAGCGAGCTAGGATGCTAAGAGGGTACGCAAGGTCAGGTCGTGTGCAAGTCATCAGGTATATGAGGCAGCCCACAAGCTCTGGGTACGGGCCACTCGGCTCTACAGACTCGTCCAAAGGTGGAGCTGAGAGCGAGTGACCGGTAGACAGAGGAGTGGACTGTGGCGAGGAGAACTGGAAGCCGAAGCGCTGAAGGACCTGCTGCACCATGTGTGACTGAGTCAGTGTGATGGTGCGGCGTGCTCTGTCCCGGGTGATCTGCAAGCCAAGGTAACTGCGCAGCTCACCCAGGTCCGACTTCACAAGAGCGAGTGCCTCAGTATCAGCAGTAGCAAAGACCAAGTCGTTGACGTACACGAGAATGTAGAACGGCGGCAGCGACGTGTCGGTGGGGAGAAACAGCAATAGGTCTGTAGTAGAAGGAGAAAACCCAAGAGCCGCAAGTGTCGTCCTCAGTGTGTCGTGCCACTCACGCGGCGCCTGGCGGAGACCGTAGACTGGCCGCCGGAGGCTCCACTAGGTACCAGGAGGGAACGACCCAGTGAAGCCAGGAGGGCGGCGCAGCCATCTCCTCGTGCAAGCTGCCCTGCAAGAAAGCTGTGCTGAAGTCCAGAGAGTGAAGCTCGTAGTCACGCTGAGCGGCAACGTGCAGCAGAACCCAAAGAGTGGTCATCTTCGGGGTGGGGGAGAAGGTTTGGAAGAAGTCAACTCCCTATCGCTGACTGAAGCCTCGTGCAACGTAACGAGCCTTGAAGACAGGCGGAGAACCCGGCGGCCTCTTCACCCTGAAAATCCACATGCCATTGATAATGTTTGCCCCAGGCGGAGGAACCTCGTCGACGTAAGTGCCTGTGGACTTCCAGGATGCCATCTCTACGTCCATGGCTGTCTAGCACTGAGAGGAGTAGTCACCCGAGAACGCCTCTGCGTAAGAGCGCGGGGTGGGGATGTCCAGTGCATCTGGGTCTCCCTCAGGGGCAAGCAGCATGGCCACGAGATGAGGCGCAGCGGCCGCAAGACACTCAAGGTCCTCCTGTCTGTCCTCAAGGACGTCCGTGCCGAGAGCACACTCACCCCCGACGGACGGAGGACAGACAGACTCAGACTAAGCAACAAGACTAGCGGCGTAGTCTAGACGACAAGCGGCAGCAAAGTCGACCAGCTCAGCAACTAAGGCAGACGCAGCAGCAGACTCAAACGACGGGTCAGTGACAACAGTGGCGAGGAGACGCGTGACAGTAGGGTGCTCAGCACGAACAGCATCAGACTCAGGGTCGGGAACATCAGGAAGAGAGGAAGCAGGAGGAGACGGCAGAGGGACACGCTGTGGAACAGAGGAAGGACGAAGTGCCATGGTGTGCGTGCCAGGCACAGGAGGAGGACGCGGACGCGGGACACGACGGGCAGTGCGACCAGCGCGAACAGTGCTACTAGCGCGAACAGGAGGGGCAAAACGAAACTCAGGCGCACGACGCTTAGTAAGTGAGTCAGGCTGCGCAGTGTAAGGTGCCGGAGGAGGCAGTGGAGAGCCAAGCTGTAACGGTAGACCAGTAGATGACGGGAGTGTAAGAACCTGACGAAGCACGGAGTCTGGCGGTGGGAGAGACGACGGCGACGGCGGAGTGAAGAACAGGCGCCGTTGCACAGCACCACCAGCAGTAGGACAGTCAGCGTCTCCAACACCAGAACCACCAGCACCAGGACCTCCAGCAGCTCCAGGCTCTCCAGCCCCAGCACCCTCAGCTCCGGCAGCGCCAGCACCTCCAGCGCGAGCTCCACGCGGACCAGCACCTCCAGTGCCCTCGCCACCGATGTCTCCAGCACAAGTACCACCAGCCTCGGCAGCTTGAGAACCTCCAGTACCTACAGTCGCAGTGTCTCGAACTCCAGTACCGTCACGCCAAAGGCGAAAGTGCTGAGCGTACCACTCACGCAGCTGCTGTGGTGAGAGAGGCCGCCGGAGAGGAGACGGAGTAGCCCGAACCGCAGCACCTCTAGCCGCAGTAGTCGCAGGCTCCATACGCTAAGGCTCAGCACCCCCAGGCTCCGCACTCGCAGGCTCAGCACCCCCAGGCTCAGCACCCCCGGGAACAGCACCCCCCGGCTCAGCACCCCCAGGCACAGCACCCCCAGGCTCAGCACCCGCAGGCTCCGCACCCCCAGGCTCAGCACCCCCAGGCTCCGCACCCCCAGGCTCAGCACCCTCAGGCTCCGCACCCCCCGGCACAGCACCCCTAGCAGCACCACCCTCAGCAGCACCTGAGTCACCAGTGACCTCGACAGGCTCAGCGATGGGAGGTGGGTCTACCTGAGAGACACCTGAGGGGGAAGGGGATCTACCGGAGGGGGACCTGGAGCGAGGAAAAGCGGCGGGGGAGGGAAAGGGGCTGTGCGGTAGGGAAACATACGGTAAAAGGGAACCGACTCGTCAAACGTGACGTCTTGAGAGGGGAAGACACGGCGCGAGGTGGGGTGGTAAAACTGCCAGCCAGGCGCGTCAGGAACAAAGCCAAGGAAAACACAGGGAAGGGTGCGGGAGGAAAGCTTGTCCGCGGACGTATCGCGGACAAGGGCACGAGCACCAAAGACTCGGAAACGCGACGCATCGCCAACCTCCCCCGTCCAACGCAGTGTGGGCGAGGTCTCCGGCAAGGAGACACGGGGCCAGAGGTTGAGCTAATGCGCAGCGTACCGGACTGCAAACGGCCACAGAAAATGGGGAGCCGCCGCATGGACCAAGGAGGTACGAGCGACCTCCATGACCAAGCCAATGCGGTGCTCAGCAACCCCATTTAGCTGCGGTGAGCCCGGAAGCAAGGAGGTCTGCTCGATGCCCTCCCCCTGACAGAAGGCCCACAGAAGGTCAGAGATGAACTCGCCACCTCTGTCACAGTGCAGACGCAGGACAGGAAGGTCCGTGCGGAACCGGCGGCGGAGCTGGAGACAGACTGCTCGGATCCAAGGGATCAGGACAGCAGGGACCTCACCCTTGGTGCGCAAGGGGAAGACCGTGGTGTAACGCAAGTAGTCGTCAACGACCAGCCAAAAGTACCGCTCACCGCCATGTCCACGAACGCGGGCTGGGCCCCACACGTCCAGGTGGAGGGTCTGCAGAGGAGCCTCTGTCGGGGGAAACGAGGAGGAGTGAGGAGCGGTGCGCTGCCGCCCCTCGACGCAAGGAAGGCAGGGCGGCGCAGGCGAGGCAGGGAGGGGAGGGAGAGACCTGGGAAGACCAGACATGAGGTGGCGACGGTGCATGCCACGGAGGCGTGGCAGGGAGGGGTGACCCAGGCGGTGGTGCCAGAGAAGAGTCTGGTGCGATAGGGAGCGACACTCACAAGGGTAGGCTACCAGACCTGACTTAGACACCTGACCAACAGCAGCTACGTGAGCAGCCGCGTGAGGAGACACAGTCGACAGTGTGTACAGACTGGACCCAGACGCACGAGTGAACGTGGCCAGGTGACGGCCAGTCTTGGAGCACGTACAGATCGCCACACGCTGTCCTCCAGGGGTAAAGGTATCAACCCACTGATCCTGGAGGACGGCGTTGCTCACCAAGTTCGTAGAGAACGAGGGGAGGTGGAGACCTGACAGCTCACCAGACGGGACCGCCGGACACGGAAGCACAGTGGTGGACCGTGCAAGAACTGGGCCCCCGGAGGGGTCAGCCAGAGAGACTGCAACAGGTGCAGGGAGTGGTGTGAGCGCAGTACTGTCACGAAAGAAACAGCGAGAAGCACTTGAGTCAAGCGTAAAGGTGCGCAAGGCCTCAGAAGGCGCAGTACCTGAGAGAGCAGACTCGCTAGCACCTAGAGCAGCAGGCTCTATACCTGGGTCAGGTGGCACACACAAGTAACAGTCTCCCTCAGCACTAACAGTCAATGCATACATGGCAGCAATGATAGCATCATAGTCAAGAGCAAAGATATCAACACCAGCCCTCATCAGATCAGCCCAGCGGGGGCGCTCAACCTCCTCGCCCATCTCCTCACGCCAAGCGTCGTCAAGGCGGGAGAAGCAGCGGTACTGGGTGTGGAGCAAATCACATGTCTGGCCCTTGCGGCCACCTGTGCGAATAACATACGGGCAGCGACCACTACCCCCAGACGTCCCACACTGAGCAAGCCACTCACGAAGCTGCTGGGTCGTCTGGGGACGCTGCTGCTGCAGACGGCTCTGGCCAGCACCAGTGACGCCACCCCGACCGCCACCTCTACCGCCACCACCGTCCCGGCCGCCACCGCCGCTGCCGCTACCGCTGCCGCCGCCACCGCCGCTGCCGCTGCCACCGCCGCCACCGCCACCCCCACTCCCTCCGCCGCCACCGCCTCCTCCGCCGCTACCACTCCCGCCAGCACTCCCGCCACTACTCCCGCCGCCACCCCCTCCTCCTCCACTGCCTCCACCACCACCCCCCCCCGGTGCCACCACCGCTACCCTTGGACCCCTTGCCCCTACCGGTGCAGCGCCTCCCACTAGAAGCAGAAGCAGCGCCAGCAGACTCAGCACCAAGGAAGTCAACAGCAGCAGCAGTAGCATAGGAGGGGGCAAGGGGAGAGGGAGAGCACCCCTCAAAGATGGGGGTGCGAGGAGCGCCACGAGCAGCACCTACAGCGACAATGCTCTTCTCGGCTGCTAGCAGCTGCTCCACTAGGAGGTCAACAGTGAGCTTGGTGGGACAGCGAGCGAGAAAGTGGTCCCTGACCGAGCTAAGGGAGTCAGGGAGATGGGTGACTAGGAAGTGGAGGGTCCAGTACATCAGAGGCGGGTTCTTGGCACAGAACTCTCTAGGGAGGGCGGCGCGAAGGTGGGTGTCGCTAGTGCGAAGGTGGGTGATGAGATCGGCAACTGTGGCAAAGGTGGACAGCTCAGGAAACAGGTAGGGCAGCGTAAATCGGCTGAGCTCGGCAGTGGCAGGGGAGGAGTAGTGAGCAACGACAGCGTCGTACAAGGCCTTAGCGGTTTTGTGCTCGCCAAAATGTGTGAGCTCGGCTAACGGTAGGTGATTGCGAACGGCTAGGCGAGCAGCAGCGTCACGAGTCTGCCACTGGGAACGGGCACTAAGCTCAGCAGTGGCAGGAGGAGCGACTGAGGCACCAGACGTGTGGTCATAGAGAGAAACATTATCCTTGCTATCGCTCATGAGGAACAGCTGCAGGTCATCGAGCCAGGTCTCAAACTGAATCGGGCGGCCCTCAGCATCGAACGACAGCACTCTGAGGGTGGCCATAGTTGCCGGCGCGAGTCTAGCAAGGCAGAGCGAGTGCAGGCAGGGAGCAGCAGCAGTGGCGGCTCGCTAGGGCGAAGCAGACAGCCGCAGTAGCAGGGCGGGCGGCACGCGAGGCTGCGGGGCAGTGTGGCGAGCGGCGCGCGGGTGGGGCAGGCGGCCGCGGCAGTAGGGCTGGCGGCGCGCGGGGCTGCGGGGCAGCGCGACGGGCGGCGCGTGGGGCCGCGGGGCTGCACGACGGGCAGCGCGCGGGGCCGCGGGGCAGCGCCAGAGGCGGCACGAGGGGCTGCGGGGCAGCGCGACGGGCAGGGGCAGGGCGCGCTCGGGGCTGCAGGGCAGCGCGACGGGCGGCGCTCGGGGCTGCGGGGCAGCGCGACGGGCTGGCAAGGCGCGCGCGGGGCTGCGGGGCAGCGGAACAGGAGGCGTGCGGGGCTGCAGGGCAGTGCGACGGGCAGCGGCAGGGCGCGCGCGGGGCTGCAGGGCAGCGCGACGGGCGGCGCGCGGGGCTGCGGGGCAGCGCGACGGGCTGGCAAGGCGCGCGCGGGGCTGCGGGGCAGCGCGACGGGCGGCGCGCGGGGCTGCAGGGCAGCGCGACGGGCAGCGGCAGGGCGCGCGCGGGGCTGCAGGGCAGCGCGACGGGCAGCAAGGTAGGGTAGGGCAGGGCGCGGGGTAGCACGGTAATCGCGAGCGGTTGGTGGTGGGCCCTAAAAAAAATCGATCCTGAGGTCCTAGGGACCTCCTGCTCTGAATACCATGTTGAGAGAACTAGCATGAATGATTGACTAAGGGATGAATGTGGTACAAGTATGAAACCCTAAAGGGGTTGTACCCCTTAGTGGCTACCAAGGCCTCAGAAGTCAGGAATTTTACTCCGAATTCCTGAAGTTTGACCCCCGTTTTTTATCATGACCCTGATGCATCAGCCTTTTTTTTTAACGACCCTGATGTTTCAGTGTTTTTTTATTTCGAACTCTGTTTTTCTAGTGTTTTGTGTTTGATGACACTGACGAGTCAGTGTTGTATCGGGGTCTACCCTGAAACCAAAAACTCCCTTTTTTTGGCGCGCCGTCACCGTGCACCGTGCACCAAGGGGATTTCTGGCGAAACATGCTCTGACAGGGCGAATCTCTTGTGTGAGGGGTAAATCTGCTGCTGTGTCAGGGCAAATCTGCTGTGATTAGGCGAATTTGCTGTGCTGCGACAGCGCGAAACGACTGTGCCAGGGCGAATTCGCCGTCAAGGCGAATCTGCTGTGACGAACCAAGTCCGAATCATCAGTCCAAGTACACAACCAGAGATCAGTAACAATCGTTAACAATTGTCCTATTCGATTGGTCAGACAAGATTTCTGACCAATCAGACACGGAGATAGCAAAAATTCTGGCCGAACTCGGGAATTGTGAAGTATGGGCTGTATGATTCGATGTGTTATGACAGCATACCGGTATAAGCAACTATGCTAATCAGTGTTGGGGTTTTAGAAACCCTGATTGATCGGCGTTTCATTTCTAACAACCCTGTAAAATCAGTGTTTCACTGTCAGAATGTGATGTTTGTCTAGCCTGCAGTGGGGTACTTTATAGCGAGTACAGCCCGAATTAGGGTTTGCTATATGTACTCAACTGCCTGCTAGTGAAAACCCTGTTTCCAGTTTCTCGTTTCTACCTAGACTTTTGACATGCTATCAGAGCAAGTCAACCCTCCTGGATCGATCCTGTGGGTGGTCCCGCCCGATGCTTCCGCTGCTGTTCTGCCTATCGCACGCCCTGGGCGTGCGATGCCTGCTGCCTGCGCGCGCGGTGTTTTTTCTTCCCACCGCGCGCTCGGGGCGCGCGGCGGTTTTCTGCCCCGTCGACCCGCGCGTCGCCCCCCCCCCGTCGGCGGTCGCGTCGCCCCCCCGGGAGCCCGTCGCATCGCCCCACTGAGCCGCGCGCGACCCCGCTGCCCGGTTGCGACGCCCTAGGGAGCCGCGCGCGGCCCCCGCTACCCCGTCGCGACGCCCTGAGGAGCCGCGCGCGACCCCGCTACCCCGTCGCGACGCCCTGGGGAGCCGCGCGCGACCCCGCGGCTTCGTCGCGACGCCCTCGGGAGCCGCGCGCGGCCCCCTGCTGCCCCGTCGCGGCGCCCTGGGGAGCCGCGCGCAGCCACCCCGCTGCCCCGCCGAGGCGCCCTGGGGAGCCGCGCGCGGCCCCCCCCGGGCTGCTGCCCGCGCACCGCCCCCCCGCTGCTGCCTGTGTTAGGGTTTGGGGGTGGCGAGTGTGGGGGTGGCGAGTATGGGGGTGACGGGTGAGTGCTCCATCCCCTGCTCCTCCTCCTCCTCCGTCTCCCACTGCTGCAGCTGCTGCTGAGGGGGGTGGTTGTGTTGGATCCGTCGGAGAGGTACGAGGGGGGTGGCGTGTGAGCAGTTCTCGAGGTACAGCAAGGGGTGTGTGAAAGGGGTGTGGGACAGCTGGGGGAAGTTGAGTGGAGGCAGCCGTCTTGTCGTCCGCAGCGCCTGTAGTCCAGAGAGCCAGCTGCGTCTGTGGCCGTGTAGTCCGGGGCTCTGCGCCTGGTAGCCACAGTGTGAGCACTCCTGGTAGTCCAGAGAGCCAGCTGCGTCTGTGGCCGTATAGACCGGGGCTCTGCGCCTGGTAGCCACAGTGTGAGCACTCCTGGTAGTCCAGAGAGCCAGCTGCGTCTGTGGCCTGAGTAGTCCGGGGCTCTGCGCCTGGTAGCCACAGTGTGAGCACTCCTGGGAGCACAGAGAGCCAGCTGCGCCTGTCGCCGTGTAGTCCGGGTATAGCCTGGTAGCGACAGTGCTACGCACTCCTGTTGCCCGTGTGTCTGCAGCTTCAGCCGTCGCCTCCCATCTTCTTGCCTCCACAGTTTCTCCTCCTCCTCACTTGCCCTCTGTGATAGTCTCTAGCTTTGCTTATCATTGTGAACTACTGCTCTGCCTGCTTGTTGTGTTGATTGTACCCCACTTTGACTATGGGGGTGTGTCAGAATGTGATGTTTGTCTAGCCTGCAGTGGGGTACTCTATAGCGAGTACAGCCCGAATTAGGGTTTGCTATATGTACTCAACTGCCTGCTAGTGAAAACCCTCTTTCCTGTTTCTCGTTTCTACCTAGACTTTTGACATTCACACCAGACGACATTGAAAATCAGTGTTACCCTTCTAGGGACACTAAGTGCTCAGGGTACCCAAAAACCAATGTGAGGCCCTGGTGGCTACCCCACTGTAGCCTGCACAACCTACAAAGCATATATGAGTTGAACAACTATAAGACACCTATTTGTGTGTACGAGATAAGACAGTGTAGGGGTTAGGGGTAATCGTACAACGAGGGGGTATCTTCTAAACGGTTCTTTGTCCATTTATAAGACTTATAAGACACCCTAAACCATCCCAAATACAAGACAACCCAACCATTTGTGAAGAGAACTAGGCAAGAATGAATGAACTAGCAAAAGTTTTGGGTACAAATATGAAACCCTAGTTGGGGTTGTACCCCATATTGGCTACCCCATTACAGCCTACAAGCATAATACAGTTTAACACACCCCCATAGGCAAAGTGGGGGAGAACAAAGGGTCACAAGACCAGTCCAGCAAAGCAAAGCAAAGCCCAGGGTGGATCACAACGTCACCACACTCCGAGCACAAGTAAAGGCCACAAGGCCAGTTCACATGCAGTGCTAGATATAGTACAAGACAAGCAACACAGTGATCAAAACCTAGCAAGCAAGCAACAAGATATATATAAAGTACAGTACAAAGAATGTCAAGCAGTGAGCAAGTGAGGAAACGTGGACACAAGGCCTAAAGAAGTACAGTGCCGCTGATGATCACTAGGCGGGAGCGCCTTGGTGAAGATATCAGCAGTGTTGGCCTTCGAGTCCACGTACACAAGCCGAAGCTGACCGCGCTGCTGAAGCTCTCGAGCAAGAAAGTAGCGAAGAGCAATGTGCTTCGTCCTGTGCTCCAGTCTGTGCTCCTGACACAAGGCAAGAGCCGCCTTGTTGTCACCGTACAGAACTGGAGGAGAACTAGGCCGCTCTCCCAAGTCAGTCAGCAGGTAGGTGAGCCAGCGTAACTCCTGTGCAGCCATGGCTGTGGCGTAGATCTCAGCCTCACAACTAGAGCCGAGAACAGAGGAAGAGCGGGTGGACCGCCACGAGACAGAACCAGAGCCAAGGCTGAAGGTGTAACCCTGTGACGACCGCTGCGTAGCCAGGTCGTCCACCCAAGAAGCGTCCGAGTGACCAGTGAGGACAACTCTGTCGTGTCCTCCAAGCACCAGCCCCATGCCTGATGTACTGCACAAGTAACGCAGCACCCTCTTAGCAGCCTCCCAGTGCTCTCGCCTGTGTCTCCCAGGTGCAACGTAACGAGCAAGGATGCTAAGAGGGTACGCGAGGTCAGGTCGCGTGCACGTCATCAGGTACATGAGGCAGCCTACAAGCTCTGGGTACGGGCCACTCGGCTCTACGGACTCGTCCGAAGGTGGAGCTGAGAGCGAGTGGCTGGTAGCCAGAGGTGTGGCCTGTGGTGAGGAGAACTGGAAGCCGAAGCGCTGAAGGACCTGCTGCACCATGTGTGACTGAGTCAGGGTGATGGTGCGGCGAGCTCTGTCCCGGGTGATCTGCAAGCCAAGGTAGCTACGCAGTTCACCCAGGTCAGTGCAGGTGTGTCTCTTCTGCAGCTCCGACTTCACACGAGCGAGTGCCTCAGTGTCAGCAGTAGCAAAGACCAAGTCGTCGACGTACACAAGAATGTAGAACGGCGGCAGCGACGTGTCTGTGCGCAGAAACAGCGACGGGTCAGCAGTAGACGGCGCGAACCCAAGAGCCGCAAGTGTAGTCCTCAGTGTGTCGTGCCACTCACGTGGCGCCTGGCGGAGACCGTAGACTGGCCGGCGGAGGCTCCACTGGGTACCAGGAGGAAACGACCCAGTAAAGCCAGGTGGGCGGCGCAGCCAGATCTCCTCGTGCAGGCTGCCCTGCAGGAACGCTGTGCTGAAGTCAAGAGAGTGAAGCTCGTAGTCACGCTGAGCAGCAACGTGCAGCAGAACCCAAAGAGTGGTCATCTTCGGGGTGGGGGAGAAGGTCTGGAAGAAGTCGACCCCCTGACGCTGACTGAAGCCTCTAGCAACGTAACGAGCCTTGAAGACAGGCGGAGAACCTGGCGGCCGCTTCACCCTGAAAATCCACATGCCATCGACGATGTTCGGCCCAGGAGGGGGAACCTCGTCGACGTAGGTGCCTGTGGACTTCCAGGATGCCATCTCTGCGTCCATGGCTGTCTCCCACTGAGAGGAGTAGGGACCCGAGATCGCCTCTGCGTAAGTGCGCGGAGTGGGGATGTCTAGTGCATCCGGGTCTCCCTCAGGGGCAAGCAACCAGGCCACGAGATGAGGTACAGCAGCCGCAAGAGAGTCAAAGTCCTCCTGCCTGTCCTCAAGGACGTCCGTGCCAAGAGCACACTCACCCCCGACGGACGGAGGACAGACAGACGCAGACGCAGACTCAGCAACAAGACTAGCAGCGTAGTCTAGACGACAGGCAGCAGCAAAGTCAACCAACTCAGCGACTAGAGCAGACGCAGCCGAGGACTCAAAGGTAGGGTCAGTGACAACAGTAGCTAGGAGACGCGTGACAGTAGGGTGCTCAGCACGATACCGGTCAGACTCAGGGTCCGGAACGGCAGGCAAAGAGGACGCAGGAGGAGACGGTAGAGGGACACGCCGAGGAGCAGTAGAGGGACGCAGAGTCATGTAGTGAGTGCCTGGGACAGGAGGAGGACGCTCATGACGGACACGACTACCAGCGCGAGCAGGACGAACAGGCGACGCAGGACGAGACTCAGGCTCACGACGCTCTGTAAGACCTCCTGTGGGACCAGTGTAAGGAGAGGGAGCAGGGAGAGGCAAGGTAGGCGGTAACTGTGACTGCGGCTGGACAGGCGGAGGACACTCTACGGAGGGAGGAGGACAAGGAGGAGGAGCCTGCCCAAGAACCTGCTGAAGGAGCGGTACGAAGTACGGTCGCGGCCGCGCAGCGTCTCCAGAAGCAGAAGAGACTCCAGCGGCCGGGTCCTCAGGACCAGCAGGAGCTCCAACGGCCGGGTCCCCAGCACCAGCAGCAGCGCCACCGCTCAGGTCCTCAGCTCCAGCAGCAGCTCCACCAGGCGGGTCCGCAGCACCAGCAGCAGCGCCACCCCCAGAGTCGGCAGCTCCAACTCCGCTAGCACCGCCAGCGCCAGGGTCCCCAGCTCCAGCAGCTCCAGTCGCAGTGCTCCCAGAACAACCAGTCCCGGCAGCTCTAGTACCCCCAGTACGAGCACCCCCAGGACGAGCAGCCCCAGCACCCCCAACTCCAGCCGAGTCACTAGGACGGCGAAAGCGCCGGACGTACCAGTCACGAAGCTGCTGCGGTGTGAGAGACTGCTCAGCACCCCGAACCGGAGCACCCCCAGACACAGTAACCCGAGGCTCCGTAGGCTCAGTAGCAGCACCCCCAGGCGCAGTACCCGCAGCCTCAGTACCCGCAGGCTCAGCACCCCCAGACTCAGTACCCCCAGACTCCGCACACGCAGGCTCAGCACCCCCAGTCGCAGCACCCCCAGGCTCAGCACCCCCAGGCGGCAAACTCTCAGGCACAGTACCCTCAGCTCCAGCACCCGCAGTCCCAGCACTCCCAGGCCCAGCACCCGCAGGCTCAGCACCCCCAGGCTCAGCACTCCCAGCAGTACCACCTGCAGCAGCACCTGAGTCACCTGTGACCTCGACAGGCTCAGCGACGGGAGGAGGGTCTACCTGAGAGACACCTGAAGGAGCAGGACCCTGAGGGGGAAGGGGGTCTACCGGAGGGGGACCAGGAGCAAGGAAAAGCGGCGGGGGAGGGAGGGGGGCAGTGCGGTAGGGGAAGAGACGGTAAAAAGGGACCGACTCGTCAAAGGTGACATCCTGAGAGGCGAAGACCCGGCGCGAGGTGGGGTGGTAAAACTGCCAGCCAGGCGCGTCAGGGACAAAGCCAAGGAAGACACAGGGAAGCGTGCGGGAGGAGAGCTTGTCCGCGGACGTATCGCGGACAAGGGCACGAGCACCCCACACCCGGAAGCGCGACGCATCGCCAACCTCCCCCGTCCAACGCAGTGTGGGCGAGGTCTCCGGCAAGGAGACACGGGGCCAGAGGTTGAGCTGATGCGCGGCGTACCGGACAGCAAACGGCCACAGAAAATGGGGAGCCGCCGCGTGGACCAAGGAGGTACGAGCGACCTCCATGACCAGACCAATGCGGCGCTCAGCAACCCCATTCTGCTGTGGGGAGTCCGGAAGCGTGAAGGTCTGCTCGATGCCCTCCGCCTGACAGAAGGTCCTCAAGAGATCGGAGGAGAACTCACCACCTCTGTCAGAGTGCAGACGCAGGACAGGAAGATCCGTCCGGAAACGGCGGCGGAGCTGGAGACGAACTGTGCGGATCCAAGGGATCAGAACAGCAGGGACCTCACCCTTGGTGCGCAAGGGGAAGACCGTGGTGTAACGCGAGTAGTCGTCGACAACCAGCAAAAAGTACCGCTCACCGCCCTGACCACGAACGCGGGCTGGGCCCCACACGTCCAGGTGGAGGGTCTGCAGAGGAGCCTCTGTCGGGGGGAACGAGGAGGAGTGAGGAGCGGCGCGCTGCCGCCCCTCGACGCAAGGAAGGCAAGGCGGCGCAGGAGAGGCAGGGAGGGGAGGGAGGGACCTGGGAAGACCAGACACAAGGTGGCGTTTGACGATGCATGCCACGAAGGCGTGGCAAGGAGGGGTGACCCAGGCGGTGGTGCCAGAGAAGAGTCTGGTGCGACAGGGAACGACACTCACAGGCGTGGCCTACCAGACCTGACGCAGACACCTGACCGACAGCAGCGACCTGAGGAGACGCAGTGGTCAGTGTGTAGAGACTCGACCCCGGCCGACGGGTAAACGTAGCCAGGTGACGGCCGGTCCTGGAGCACGTGCAGATCGCCACACGCTGTCCTCCAGGGGTAAAGGTGTCAACCCACTGATCCTGGAGGACAGCGTTGCTCACCAGGTTCGTCGAGAACGAGGGGAGGTGGAAACCCGACAACGAGCCAGACGGAGCCGCCGGACAAGGGAGGACAGTGGTGGACTGGGCAAGGACTGGGCCCCCAGAGGGGTCAGCCAAGGAGACTGGGACCGGTGCAGGAAGCGGTGTGAGCTCAGTACTGTCACGAAAGAAGCAACGGGAAGCACCTGAGTCAAGGGTGAAGGTGTGACAGGCCTCAGCCGGTGCGGTACCTGAGAGAGCAGTCTCTGTGGGTGCTGTACCTGAGAGAGCAGACTCGAAAACAGCCGGGACAGCACTGGAGGGAGCAAGTACAGGGGGCACCATACCAGAGAGAGCAGACTCACTAGTACCCAGGGCAGCGGGCTCTATACCTGGGTCAGGCGGCACACACAAGTAACAGTCTCCCTCGGCACTAACAGTCAATGCATACATGGCAGAAATAATAGCATCAAAGTCAAGAGCAAAGACATCAACACCAGCCCTCATGAGCTCAGCCCAGCGGGGGCGCTCAACATCCGCACCCATCTCCTCACGCCAAGCGTCGTCAAGGCGGGAGAAGCAGCGGTACGGGGTGTGGAACCTCCCACACGTCTGTCCCTTGCGGTCACCTGTGCGAATGACATAAGAACAGCGGCCACTGCCCCCCGACGTCCCACGCTGAGCAAGCCACTCACGAAGCTGCTGGGTCGTCTGGGGACGCTGCTGCTGCTGGGAGCTCTGGCCCGAGCCAGTGCCTCCACTCCGACCTCCGCCGCCACCACTACCACCGCTACGACCGCCACCGCCACCACCGCCACCACCGCCACCACCGCCACCGCCGCCACCGCCACCGCCGCCACTACTGCCACTGCTTCCTCCGCCGCCCCCGCCTCCAGTACCGACCCCACTCCCACCAGCGCTCCCGCCACCGCTCCCTCCAGCACCGCCTCCCCCCCCACCTCCCCCACCTCCTCCCCCCCCAGCGCCACCACCACCACCCTTGCCCCCCTTGCCCTTGCCGGTGCGGCGCCTCCCACCAGGAGCAGAAGCAGCGCCAACAGACTCAGCACCAAGGAAGTCAACAGCAGCAGCAGCAGCGTAGGAGGGAGCGAGGGGAGAGGGAGAACACCCCTCAAAGATGGGGGTGCGAGGAGCGCCACGAGCAGCACCGACAGCTACAATGCTCTTTTCGGCCGCGAGCAGCTGCTCCTCTAGGAGGGTGACTGTGAGCTCAGTGGGACAGCGAGCAAGGAAGTGGTCTCGAACTGAGCTGAGGGTGTCAGGGAGACGGGTGACTATGAAGTGGAGTGTCCAGTACAGTGGAGGGGGGTTCTTAGCGCAGAACTCGGTGGGAAGGGCGGCACGCAGGCGAGCATCACTAGTGCGAAGGTGGGTGATAAGATCGGCGACTGTAGCAAAGGTGGACAGATCGGGGAACAGGTACGGCAGCATGAGGCGGCTAAGCTCGGCTGTGGCAGGCGAGGAGTAGCGAGCAACGACAGCATCGTACAGGGCCTTAGCGGATTTGCAGTCGCCAAAATGCTCGAGCTCAGCTAGCGGCAGGTGACTGCGAATGGCTAGGCGAGCAGCTGCGTCACGGGTCTGCCAGTGGGAACGAACACTAAGCTCGGCTGTGGCAGCAGGAGCAGCGGCAGCACCAGACGCATAGTCATAGAGGGAGATGTGGTCCGTGCTATTGCTCATAAGATACAACTGCAGGTCGTCGAGCCAGGAAGTGAACTGCACGGGACGGCCCTCAGCATCGAAGGAAAGAACGCGAATAGAGGCCATAGCTCAGGCGTGAGGGCACAGCAGAGCAGCGGCAGCAGCAGAGGGGACGCGCTAGAGCGAAGCTAGCAGCCACAGCAGGAGCAAGCGGCGGTGCACAGGCAGGGAAGTGCGGCGGGCGGGCTGCAAGTGAGCGGGCGACGCTGCGAAGCGGGCAGCGGGCGAGCGGGCGACACTGCGAGCGGGCAGCAAGCGGGCGGGCGACGCTGCGAAGCAGGTAGCGGGCGGGCGGGCGGCGCTGCGAGCGGGCAGCGAAGCGGGCGGGCCGCGAAGCGGGCAGCGAGCGGGCGGGCGGGCTGCGAAGCGGGCAGCGGGGCGAGCGGGCTGCGAAGCGGGCGGGCCGCGAAGCGGGCAGCGAGCGGGCGGGCGGGCTGCGAAGCGGGCGGGCCGCGAAGCGGGCAGCGAGCGAGCGGGCTGCGAAGCGGGCGGGCCGCGAAGCGGGCAGCGAGCGGGCGGGCGGGCTGCGAAGCGGGCGGGCCGCGAAGCGGGCAGCGAGCGGGCGGGCGGGCTGCGAAGCGGGCGGGCCGCGAAGCGGGCAGCGAGCGGGCGAGCGGGCTGCGAAGCGGGCAGCGGGGCGAGCGGGCTGCGAAGCGGGCGGGCCGCGAAGCGGGCAGCGAGCGGGCGGCTCGGCGGGCGGGCGACACTGCAAGGGGCGCGCGAGGGCGCTAGTGAGGGGCGCGCGAGGGCGCTAGCAAGGGGCGCACGAGGGCGCTAACGAGGGGCGCGCGAGGGCGCTAACGAGGGTGCGCGCGAGGGCGCTAACGAGGGCGCACGAGGGCGCTACGAGGCTAGGGCACGGGGTAGCGTGGTAACCGCATGCGAGCGGTGGTGGGCCCTTAAAAAAAAAAACGGTCGGTAGGTCCTAGGGACCTCCTGCTCTGAATACCATGTGAAAAGAACTAGGCAAGAATGAATGAACTAGCAGAAGTTTTGGGTACAAATATGAAACCCTAGTTGGGGTTGTACCCCATATTGGCTACCCCACTACAGCCTACAAGCATAATACAGTTTAACACCATTTTTTCCTGTGTACGAGATAACACATATATGTCTTATATCCGGGCGATGACGGTACGCGTGCGTCAGATTATGCAGTCAAGTTAGTCAAATTTCGCTGCAGTGGGCTGTCCCTTCCTGCAGTCTCGCTAAAATTAGAAGTGTATACAGTGAGGGGGGTCTAATCCGGATTTGTTGCAAAAGAAGGGGTCTATTACGAAAGTGCATATAGCATTAGATCCAAGGCCCAAAATTGGTTTAGGCCTACCCTTACAAATCAGGGTTCCAGCCCCTCCTTGAACAGACCCCTAGGGTAAAATTTTCCGTACCCTGTTGGCAGCAGGGTAAATCTACCATTACACTGATTTGAGCAGGGTAGTTTTAGGCTAAGCCTGTTTGGATGACCGTTTTGTGAGCTAAGTTCTTTATAAAAACATAATAACGTAGCACATCCAAAGTCCTTGAACTCTGCAGAAGCCACACATTCACTACACACCTACTCAGCGCCACCCCCACTACCTACATCTTCTTCTACAAACTGAGTCTGCGAAGCTCTGGTGGGGTCGAACTCCCTGGTGGATTGCCTCAGCTTCTCTCCCAAAAGATAGCGACCACCTCAAACCAGTCGACATCGTACCGCAGCAGGGAGCAACGCATCAGATGCTCCAGGCTTGTGTCGCCAAGGCTGCCACGTCCCCAAGTCTTGATCAGATTCTGCTTCGAGAAGCCACGCTCGCATTCAACCGTGCTCAATGGCAGCACGGCCACTGACTGCCACATCCGCATGATGTTGGGGAAGGAGACACGCCATGCATCATCCCGCAGCATGTTCGTCAGCGCCTGATGGAATTCTTCATTGTTGTGCTGGGCGAACATTGTGGATGTAAACATCCACAGCTCCTGCTGGGCTCTCTTGTAGTCGAACCCTGTGGTGGGGCGGGGTTGGGGTGAAAGCTTGGCCGATGCTCGCAGACACGGGTAGGGATGGGGGGCATTAGTCCAACAAGCAACAGTATGCAGTAAGTGCATTGGTCACCTTCATGTCAGACATCGTTGCGACAACACACATCATAACATGAGCAATCGCTGCACAAGGCTTACCTGGCAGCTTGTGGTGGTACAACTTGTGCAGCTGGCCGAGCCACTTCTTGAAGGTTTCCAGTCGGTTCGTGTCGTCGGACACGTACGACGCTGTGCGAAACAGCTTCGAACCTTCCAGCAGCTCCAGGTCGCGCATCCGCCACTCCAGCTCGGCATCGATGGCGCGCACATACTTAATCGACAGCTCGACGCACACAGTGACATCGCCATCCGTTTCATGTCCTGGCAGCGGGCGCTCGTGCAGCGTGAACTCAAACGTGACGGGATTTCCGTCCCCGCCTACGCCCTCTGCCTTCATCTTGCGCTTATCCTTTGCCCCGTGCCTCAAAATGAACTCGGGAAGCTGCATTTTATCCCCGCTGCCGAAATGGTGTGCAGGGTCGCGGAGGGCGCAAGGAAGCGGATGAGCCAGTGGAACTTGAACGAGGTAACCACCTCGTACAGATCCGCCTTGTAATCCTTCATCACCACAATGGCCGCTGGCAGCACGTCGAGCAGGCGCTGTATCGCTTCACCACGGGCGAGCCATCTTGTGTCGCTAATCCCCTGCGCCTCGAGATTCGTCTGGCAAAAGATCTGCTTCATCTCTTGAAACTTCGCGTAGTCCACGCTGCTGCGGCCGATGTGGTCAGCGAAGGCGCGCACGACATCGTCGATCATTAGCAGCTCAGGTACCTCTTCAGCAGCATCACTGGCAGCGAGTGCCTCCCTGTATATAATGGCAACACGACAGATGGTTAGTCAACATCAATACTTGGTAAAACAGCAGCACGGAGCACACAACGGTGATGCTTACCGATGAGCGATACAATGTGTTGAGGCCAGATGCGGAATGCGCATGCGAAGCCGTGTCACGACTCCTCGGTTCTTGCCGACCATGACGCTGGCACCATCGGAGGCGACGCTGGATATCTTCTGGAGGTCGACCCCGATACCTGTTAGATACTGCGCTACAGCGGATGTGAGTGAGACAACGGTCAACAGTAATGAGTGTCAAGAACTCTGTAACCACCGTGGTGCGCTGGAAGAACGTGGCGTACAGAATGAGATGTTTCCCATTCACACGGTCCGTGCTCTCGTCGAGTTGAATCCCTATCCACGGGGATTCGAGCAGGTGCAGGCGCTGTGTCTCTTGGAGGTATGTAGAGAGGGCGTGCAGGTTCTCTTTGAAGCCGTAACTGCCAGGGGACAACAGAGGTGGTCAAATACCAGAGTGGATAATAAAAAACTCACCAGTATCACCAATTCAGGCCACCATTTACTCTGTGTAGTAAGCGCCGTAGCCGCCAGCGGGAGGAAGGTCTGGTAACCCCTCCTTCGCCAGAAACCAACACAGCGGGACGAACATCGCTATGGGTGCGTCGGCCTTGCAGACAAAGTGCGCGATGTGGAGGAGCCGAATGATGTGACGAGTGGAAGCGTCCGTGATCTGCCATCGTGTGATTGTGGCCTGCTTCGCCTTCTCCGCCTCCGCCTTCTCCTGATTCTCCAACGACTGCTTGTGTGCACGGGAGGAGGTGTGAGTGCAGATGCTGCCGATCTGGAGATCCCGAGCACCCTCACCCTTCGCCCCGTACGCGGTGTGCGCTAGTGGATCTCCATGCTTCACACAAATCGCACACTTCAAAGACGGACGACTGTTAGACATGTGGAGCAAACGTAACCACTTGAAGCTACCTGCCCACTGACCCTCAAACGTCTTCTTCACCGATTCATACTCAGCATCCGCCAGAGCGGTGGGTGGCTTCGGATCGGCCGAAGGAGCAGGGCGCTTGTGGGAAGTAGCGTTTCGGGGAGGAGGGGCGCCCCAGAGCGTCTGCTGCTTGTACGTAACTCCCACACGTGGTCGCTTGACGGGCGCGGTGCTGACCGTCGAAGGCGAAGCTGTAGGCAGCTTTGACGAGCCCTCGCCACCTCCGGGAACTAATTCTATGTCAGGATGTGGCTCCCACGCCGTGGGTGAGTCTGGCGGCTCGAACGGATAAACCGTTCCTACCACATATTCTGGTGACGGCTCACGAGGCGGCGGCTGAGCGATGGGCACGGTGTAGTTCTCGCTAAGGCGTGGTAAAACGCCCAGCACAGAGAGGCCGTTTCTCACGCCATCAGGTGGATCGGGCTCTCCAGTGGGCATTGTGGAGCTGAAAGTTGAGAATGGTTGAGAATGAGGGGAGAGCGAGAGACCCCCTCGTAGAGAACGAGCCTCTGGCTGCCTCTCAAGGGCCGTTTCTTCCAAGCGGCGGGAAGTGCATGGCCAGCAAGGCAGGGCTGCTGCTGCAATTTGTTGTTAAGGACAGCTTGAACCTGTCCTTGACAGCAAATTCTGCTGTGTTGGCGGTGGGCGTGGCGACGGGTGGCAAGATTCGAGAATGAGTTGGCAGCCCTGGGGGAGAAACAACAAATGAGGCAACATGGCGCGTTGCCGACAGCGAAGCTAGTTTTTTTGCGCGTGGTCACAAGCGACAACCGGTATTTGTGGGGGTGTGGTACATTTTGTCACCACGCGGACTATGGTCTGATTCGCGTTAGGAAAGTTTCGGTAAAAGGGTAGTGTACACCAAACCCTGATTCCGTCAGGCTAACCTAAAAACCAATCAGGGTGAAATAAAACATGCTCTTTCTAGAGAAGGGTAACTATCTTGCATTCCCGATTTTGGCAGGGTAATCCTGAAAAAACGGCCGACCCCCAGGGTAATCAGGGCGTTTTACCCTGATATTTTGGGCCCTGATTAGATCCCCCCCCATTTAACGACCCGGGGGTCTATAATTTTGGGAGGTCCATTACCCGGGTAAAAACAGTAGTTCCATCATTCCTGCTAGTCTGTTTATTCCCCTCCCCCCCCATCCCTCCATTTTTTCTAGGGATTTAGCATAAGACCCTAGGTGTTATGAGTTTTACTAGACAGAGTGCGCGGAAGACTTTATAAAAAGAACGTGATTACAGAATGATGAGAATGATAAAGGAACATGCATTTATAGGATCGCAATCGTGCTAGGCGAGGACCTCGGGACGTGGGTGGCTCGGAAATGTCGCGATTGGTGATGGGCGACTCGGAATTGGTTCGGTGCGAAAGTGTAGGCCGAGCCATCCTGACGCGAAGTGCTCGGGCTGTCCTCGCTAGGAACAGCCTCTACAGTAATGAATGTATATTCATTACACTCTCCCACCTTCTAAATAAGGTGTCTTTATACGAAGACGAGTCTTGCAGTAGCGTGAAAACTGCAGATCTCGGTCGAAGTTGATCTGATGGTGCAGAAGCCCGTTGACTTCCAAGCTGACGCGAGGTTGATCTGTTGACCAGCCGGATTTCAAAATGGTTGGATGTCAGGCGTTGAATTTCCCGGATGTCGATCTGGCGGTTGAAGGAACGTGAGTCGTCGAGTTGAAGTTGCGAAGGAACGTGAGTCGTCGACGAGGAAAAATGCGATCATACGGTCATGGCGTAGGCGATGGTGGCAGGTACTCTGACACGCTGTCAGAGGTCGGCGAATCCGAAGCTGTCAGAGTCTAACGAGGCTGTCAGAACTGCCAAGTACTGTGCGAAATTATCCCTTTCTCCCCCCCCCCCTTGAAAAAGAAGGGTAGACCCCAGTGGAGTACCGTTGCGCGGGGAGAAAACTCCAACAACCCTGCCGCTGAGTGTAGTCAGAAACACCAAGTGTCATGAACCCCGTCAAAATTAGGAGCTGCACTGTCGAAATTGTTGTCAGTGGTGAAAATCCCACCTCTGGAAGCTTTGAAAACTACCCTGGGAAATCTGTGTCGAAGTCCGAATGTCTTGACGGCTGCAGCATCCCCGGTTGGCAGCACCTGCTATCCAAAATCTCTGCTGCTGTCTTGTTGTCGCGACTGCTGATGCAGCATTTCCAGCGACTGCCACGCAAAATCCAATCATGGCACCATCGAATCAACTAACTGCCGCAGTATCTCCACCTGGCAGCGGTTGTTACTCAGAGCCGCTGCCGATTTGTCACTTGCAGAAAAACGAACTCGTCCCAAACTTTTCCTGTCGTGACTCCAGATCATTAAGGTTCGTCGTCGAAGCTGTCGCGAAAAGTGCGAAGTCGTTGAAGCACATCAGCGACTCTCGGCGAGGTAAGCTAAGTTACGTAACCACCATTTCTTAACCCTGAAAAACTCAATCGAAAACCCGAACTCAGTTCCTGATGATGTCAGCACCCCCGGCGGTCTTGTCGTGGCTCGCCGAGGCATTTGTCCTGATCCCCCCAAAACTCCCGGGCAGAGGCGAAAATACAGCTGCTGCTCCTCCCCTGACCAAGCAAACATTTTTGATACAGTTGAACTTGACTGTCGATGACGTCAGCTACCTCGGCGTCGTTGTCGTGACTCACCGGGAACTTCGGGGCAGAGGCGAAAAAGCTGTCCTTCCTCCCCCCACCTGTTGTGAGAAAGTTCACCAGTGTTGCGGCTGGTACCCCCGAGCAGCTCCCGATTTGTACGGCTACACATTTGACGACGAGTGCCTTCGCGCGCTTAATCAAGCAACGCTGCAGTCGGCCGTCGGCACGGATACTGTCAGCGACCCCGCTGACTCCGTTAAGACTCTTTTCGGAACTGCTCGCTGCACCCGTAAATGTCGGAAATCAATACACCTCGTAAGATCTTGGTCGCAAGCAGGTTGTCCCCCAAAAGAAACCTTGCTATTGGGGTTTTCTTGGGGTTGTGTGTGCTGCTTTTTCTTCCTTCTTCCCTGTTTTTCTTCCTCCTATCATTTTTCCCCTATTCCCCTCCTTCTTTCTTCCTCTCTCCTTTTTTCTACTCACGTTATTCCTCCTTCAAAAGAAACCGGTGTTTCTAGCACGCCCACCCGGTCACCATTTTTTTCGTGCGGTTAACCACCCAAGCTACCCACCAACAGGAGGTGCTTTTTCGGCGTGGAACCCAGTACTTATGGGTCTTCCGAGACCGATTTTCACGGACCCTAGCGCGCATCAACGCCGCAGATCAGCAGAACTTCCCCAGACCGCTTCGAAGTACACCGCGAAGTCGTTTGGCGAGTAGACGTTCACCCGTCTCCCACCGTCGATTTTTTCGTTTTCACCCCCCGACAATATCGGCGAGCCACCGTTCACCCAGCAGCCGCGTTGTCGGATGAGGTATAACTCCGTGTTGCCCGCGATTTTTCTGGCGTTCGATGAAGGCGCGAACGCTATGTAGCCGGTGTGAGTTTATCGTATCAAACGCGCTTCGGCCGCTTCGCTGCCCACCGTGCCTATCGCTTAAAAATATACCACAGCTTCGGGAATTCCATCTTCGCCGCTACACCGCCGTCGGGTAGACCGTTGAATTAGGAGAAACTCCGAGAGCTGCCACATTCTCTTCAACCCCGACTTTTTCGGCGGGTACTTTTGCTGATGGTTTTGTTTTGTCGCGGCAGAAACAGTGCCACATTCTTGAAATTTTCTTGTACGCCCTGCTGTCGAACCAGCGCCTCCCACGCCTTTCTAACCAGCACAGGGTTAAACGCAGGGCCCCACTTTATTCTTCCAGGGCCAACAGGACTTAAAACGCCTTCGAGGCAACCTAGTGTGAGGTATGCAAAACGTTGGTAGACTTGGCGGGTAGGGAGCTCCTTCTGCCACCGCCGCTTAGTCGCGAAACACGGTCGGAGAAAGGGATAATTTCGCAGAGTACTTGGTAGTTCTGACAGCCTCGTCAGACTCTGACAGCTTCGGATTCGCCGACCTCTGACAGCGTGTCAGAGTACCTGCCACCATCGCTTAGCCGCGAAACTCGGCCTCAGCAAAAGTCGTCGCAGTAGGTCGTTTTCTCCCCTCCTGAAGTCGGAACCCGTTTCTCTCGCCGGACCCGTATTAGTCGCAACTCCGTTTATTGTAGCCGGTAGAACCTCCGAAAATCGCGGGTCTAAAACGCTGCGCCGAATCGTTGTTCCGTGATGTACTGGGCTGTCTGCGAACACAGGTACCTCTGGCCGGAGGGAAACTGTGCCGCGTGAAGTGCAGAATCGGCTACTGTTGCTCCGAAATTTTTTCCGATTATCATTGTGCCAGAAACAGTAGTCACCCAATCCGGAACAATCTGGTCGTAGGCGGCCTTTTCCGAACTTTTCGGTAGTTTGAAAGACGACTTCCGTTTCACACTGTGCCGCTCTGCCGAAAAACGCCGACGACGCACCCTCCTGCAGAACGCTGCTGCACCCGGGTGGGACGACGGAAAACCCCCGCTTTCTTCGGGCAGTCGTCACGCCGCCTCTCCTCGCCGTCGGATTTTCTGACGCAAATCACACATTGCGCCTGGGTGCTCAACCAGCAGTCGTTCCCACGTGCTGCTACCCGAAATCTTCGCGCACAGTGACGTCGCATGTCACTTGCCGAAGACGTCGAACGGCCTCAGGCGCAACGTGACGAAGACGCCTCAACGCCACTTGCTGCATGAAGTCGCTTCCGGAAATCTCGTATGCAGTTGACGTCCACGTGCCGACGCCAACTCGCACCACCGACGCTTCCGACAATTTCGGACGTGCAGCCACGGCGATCCTGCCGACGTCAGCCGCTACACAGCATTAACTCCGAAATTGACGAAAACGACAACAGTTAACTCACGCATTCAATGCGACGACAGCAAAAGCTGTCCGCCACCCGGGGGGAGGGAGGCCACGGTCGATCTTGACCGTCGAGGGCAAGGATCCGTCGGTGCAGCAGGAGCGCCCGTAAAATCCATGGCCGTTAGGAGCAACTATCCGTTCTCCTGGCCGGCTACTGCGCTGCTCCTGTCACCACTGGGGATCCCCGATGATCCTAGGGAAGGGTTACAGGCACGTCGGTCTGGGGGGTTATGGGCGCACTCACCCGCTATATAAACAAGCCCTTTTATCCCAGTGGTTAGTGGCTGGGATTCTGACACTCCTGTCACCCCGGCATCCTTCCCTATCCCCCCCCCCGAGGGGTAATACACTCTAAAAAACGGGGAAGCTAGGAAAGTAGCTCTGATACCAAGTGTTATGAGTTTTACTAGACAGAGTGCGCGGAAGACTTTATAAAGAGAACGTGATTACAGAATGATGAGAATGATAAAGGAACATGCATTTATAGGATCGCAATTGTGCTAGGCGAGGACCTCGGGACGTGGGTGGCTCGGAAATGTCGCGATTGGTGATGGACGACTTGGAATTGGTTCGGTGCGAAAGTGTAGGCCGAGCCATCCTGACGCGAAGTGCTCGGGCTGTCCTCGCTAGGAACAACCTCTACAGTAATGAATGTATATTCATTACACTAGGGTTTTATATCGGGGGGAATACGGTAACAAATACGCGAAGCAATAAACCCCGTTATGGAAAAGACTTCTCCTTACACGTAGGACTTTCTTTCCTTTGAGTCTTACCGTACATACCGAAATGTATTTTTCTAGACTGAGTTGAGTTGAATATTTTAATCGAAAGTCAATTATTTTTTGTACTGGTTTACAAGAAAACAAGAATAATTTTATAATGGGAACATGTACAGCCAGCCATAAATATAGAATGTTAGTGCCAGCCTTTAACTAGCTCATAAATATAGCTCTAGTCTCCGATACTGGTGTTCGAGAAGACCAGGATTTATAAGGGAAACAAGTATAATGGGAAAGCATGTTAGCTTGAGCCTTGAACAACCAGACCATAAATACCCTCTAGCCATGCTAAAAACGAGACTGTATAAGAGCACCTAAGAGCTTCTTAGACATGGTCATTAGAGGTATTCAAGTGATGCTCTTAGCCAAGTGTGGGTGCGACAAGCCCATCCGAGTTCCAGATGGAATAGACGAAGTACCACTGGCCGGGGAACATTGGGTTCCTCTGCCACAGATCCACGCGCTTCCCCATCTCCACCACATGACCTGCGGGGCGTACCAGGGATGTATTTGTGGAATGGGGGGGGGGCGAAAAAATAGTGGAACACAAAGGCTGTGTCAAGAGTTCGTCAGTGGAGGCGGGGAGTTAGAGAGAGGCGCGGAGGGATACCGGATGAGTGCTTGCGTATTTCTCTGTGTGTGGTGTGCGAGAGAGAGAGAGAGGTCAAAGGGATAGGAAGGAGAGAGAAGGAGAGAGGGCAAGGGTGGCGTGGTACCTGACTGGGTGGCGTGGTACCTGACTGGGTGGCGTGGTACCTGACTGGGTGGCGTGGTACCTGACTGGGTGGCGTGGTACCTGACTGGGTGGCGTGGTACCTGACTGGGTGGCGTGGTACCTGACTGGGTGGCGTGGTACCTGACTGGGTGGCGTGGTACCTGACTGGGTGGCGTGGTACCTGACTGGGTGGCGTGGTACCTGACTGGGTGGCGTGGTACCTGACTGGGTGGCGTGGTACCTGACTGGGTGGCGTGGTACCTGACTGGGTGGCGTGGTACCTGACTGGGTGGCGTGGTACCTGACTGGGTGGCGTGGTACCTGACTGGGTGGCGTGGTACCTGACTGGGTGGCGTGGTACCTGACTGGGTGGCGTGGTACCTGACTGGGTGGCGTGGTACCTGACTGGGTGGCGTGGTACCTGACTGGGTGGCGTGGTACCTGACTGGGTGGCGTGGTACCTGACTGGGTGGCGTGGTACCTGACTGGGTGGCGTGGTACCTGACTGGGTGGCGTGGTACCTGACTGGGTGGCGTGGTACCTGACTGGGTGGCGTGGTACCTGACTGGGTGGCGTGGTACCTGACTGGGTGGCGTGGTACCTGACTGGGTGGCGTGGTACCTGACTGGGTGGCGTGGTACCTGACTGGGTGGCGTGGTACCTGACTGGGTGGCGTGGTACCTGACTGGGTGGCGTGGTACCTGACTGGGTGGCGTGGTACCTGACTGGGTGGCGTGGTACCTGACTGGGTGGCGTGGTACCTGACTGGGTGGCGTGGTACCTGACTGGGTGGCGTGGTACCTGACTGGGTGGCGTGGTACCTGACTGGGTGGCGTGGTACCTGACTGGGTGGCGTGGTACCTGACTGGGTGGCGTGGTACCTGACTGGGTGGCGTGGTACCTGACTGGGTGGCGTGGTACCTGACTGGGTGGCGTGGTACCTGACTGGGTGGCGTGGTACCTGACTGGGTGGCGTGGTACCTGACTGGGTGGCGTGGTACCTGACTGGGTGGCGTGGTACCTGACTGGGTGGCGTGGTACCTGACTGGGTGGCGTGGTACCTGACTGGGTGGCGTGGTACCTGACTGGGTGGCGTGGTACCTGACTGGGTGGCGTGGTACCTGACTGGTTGGCGTGGTACCTGACTGGGTGGCGTGGTACCTGACTGGGTGGCGTGGTACCTGACTGGGTGGTCTTGGAGTAGCTGCTGCGCACGAGCGCCGAGAGGCTGCTGGAGCCGCCCGCCATGATGGGGTCGGTGGAGGCCTTGAGCTCCACCAGCACCACGTCCTCCACCGTCACGCCCAGCGCCACCTGCGCGTCGATCAGATCCTGCGAGGACCATTAAGGCAGTGGGGAAGGGAGAGTTAAAGCTCCATTGAAACCCGAGCATGAGCAGTGGTAGACTGCATCCGGGTTAAGACTGCATCGCGGGCATGAGCAGTGGCAGTCACCTCGCCATCAATCTCGTTACGCTTCAAATCCCGCCAACAGCATCCGGCCAAGGCTGTCCCAGTCATCTACGCGAACCCGAGCTTCTAACCTCAGTACGTTTGCGAGCATCCCTTTCTTTCCCTACTTTCGTGCTCTTTTGCTCCTCTGCATTCCACCCCAGCAGTTCACAGCAGCTGCTTCTGCATTGGATCTTCTGCATTTGCTCTTCTGCGTGAGGTCAGCTCGCATCGGCTCACCTGGGCGAAGCGTTGCTTCTGGTCGGGCGTGACGAGCATGGTGCGCGGCTGGTTGGGCGGCAGCAGAATCACCACGGGCGCGAAGATGGCCGTCGCCGACACGGCGTCGCCCGTCGCGATGGCGGCCGAGAAGCCCTCCCACGCCGCCTGGATCTGCATGATGATGTCCTGCGGCCGCGGATCGCCCACTGCCGCCGGTACCGCATTTGCGGCGGCTTCTGCAGCGCCCTGAACCTGGTCGAACCACGCTACCGCCGTGGCGGCTCCAGCAGCTTCGGGAAAATTGGTGGCGACATTCTTGGAAGGTTCCTCGGGTGCGTCCTTGGGCAGATCGGAGTTCCAGACCATCCAGCTGACGCCCCAAATGTACTTTCCGTTGCTTGTAACGACATTGGTCGACGCGCCTTCGACAACGGCGCGAAGCGCGTTCGCCCCCTCGTCGCCCTCCAAGGAAAACTGAGCCACGTCAGCAGCGCCGACCTGCTTCTCCTTGAGGAGATCCCAGTAGAAGATGAACTTGCCGTTGTCGGGTGTAGCGGCCGGCACGAGAGGGGATGGGGAGGTGACATACGTCCCCGTTGTGGTCATTCCGTACTTCTTGTACGTTTTGTACTTGAGGTCGTATATGGAAATGCCGTCTGGCTGAAACTCGACGTTCGGGAGGGTCAGGGACAGACTTTGGAGGAAGGCGGCTTTTTGGAAGGAGGAGAGGAGGAAGAGCGACGGTCCTTCTGGCGGCATTACGATCGTGCGCGGCGAAAAAAGCTTCTTCGCCGCCTTCTCGTAGGCGCCGGCGGCGATTTCCTGCGACGTTTCGCGAAGCAGATCCATTACCCATCGCGTAACTTTCGACATCTCTGGGTCGCCGAGGCGTTTGGCGGCGTCAGCGTCTATGTGATCGATGCGTGCGACGGGGTCCGCCGAGATAAAACCCTCATCCGCGCCATTGAGTGTGAGCACTTGCTCTATTCCGGGAAAAGCTGCTTGGATATCGGTCTGCTCCAGCGCCAAACGGAGGGGACGAGCTTGCGTTGAAGGCACGAGGAGGGTAAGGAGAGTGGCAAAACCCAGAAGTCGCACGCTGGACAACGTAAACTCGTGGACGCGGGCCATCTCAAAGCGATGCTTCAGCAATTAACTCTCAGTCGTTCATTCGCTCGCTATCTCAACTCTCAACTATCTGTCTTCTGTTGTATACTAGTGGCTGATAGAAATGAGCGCATTTGCATGTTTGAAGGAACGAGGGGCAAACAATCCTGCAGGGAATCAACACAGCTCACCGCTAGGCAGCATTTCAGGCAACCATATGGGCGGTGCGCGGATATTCTGTGAGTCGTGCGAATGGATCGCACGTCGTCGACCAACCCACGCGAAAGGATGCCTCACGAAGCAGCAATGTTCTGACGAAATCGTCACGAGGGATGTGGTGCAGTCGCAATGGCTCTGCGAAGTGCACGTCCACCGTCGTCACAGTTGATTTCGACAGAACCGAATGTCCACGTTCGATGTCTCTCGAACCCCATCCCTCGTAACAGCTATTTTCTTGCAATCGCTTAGTCTATTTCCTTCAATAAAACGTGAATCATACACCTATAAGACTAGTGTATGCATAAAGAATTTACTTTCCTTAGCATCACCACCACTGCCACGTACAACACAGTTCCCGCCACTTTCATCCAAAAATGACCAGTTACCACCTCACAATTCACTTTGACACTGTTCCCGCCACCAACACTGTCGCGGCCAAACCACATGGCTCGGCTATGCTGTGGCCTGCGGCCCAGCCATATGCCTCGACATTTCCCAAACCTCGGCGCTACGCCTGGCACCCTTTGTGATTGAATTGTTTTGCTTCAATATTGCAATCTTCGTTCGCTTGTGCAATTGCACTCGTAAAAGTTTGTATTCAGAGCCATGCTCCTTTTTTGGACCGCGCGCACATTAGCTTCCTAACTTGTCACATTAGCTTTCTACAGAATGTCACTCTACAACGGCTAGACTACGTGGGAGGCTACGGGATTTTATGGGTGATCGTAGCGTTCTCTAGCACTTGTGCAAGTTTGCTGTGCTCGTAGATGAAATTGGGAAGAGTTACACTAGCAAAATTTGGAGGAACAGAAGGCATAGTGGCATGACAAAGTTGATATATCAGGAATACAATGCAACCTAGCAACCTAGCAAATCGGCTTCCAACATAGCACGAGGCGGCTTGCCAGCTTCGCACCCGCAGGTGATTACGCGTGCACATGTGCGCACCTACCAAGTAGGTATCGGGAGACGACTACGTGTACATTGTGCACCGTCAAGTATATTGTGCAGGTGCCAGGTCGAGTGAATCTCAACGGTTGTACCCGATGCCCATCGTCGACCACGCTGGCCGACTTCGTTAAAACCACCCTGGGCAAAGTTCGCACGTCCTCGCATATCTTCGCCGACTGATTACCAGGTCGACAAAAAGAGGCCGCCAAGTCGGCGCCGACTTCGACAGTCGTTCGACACCGATGTCCGTAGGTCGGCGTCATCTCGACAAACAGCTTCGTCGATCGCCAAGGCCGAAGGCCGTCTGTCGACTTCACATCGTCGACGTCACCAAGATGATTGGCTTCACCGAAGTTCATTAACCAAGCTCGTCAACTTGCTCCTCCGAGTCGGCGCCATCCACGAAGCCCAGCCGGCTGCACACTTTCAACTCCGGTCAACGAATTCGGCTTTGCCCAAGCCGGGGTTGGGCTATGCTTTGTAACGTTATAAGGATTTTTTTAGCAATCCTATCGCACATCTCAACATCGCGTACACAACCAACCATTTCTTCGCCCGTTACAGCTAACGGTGTTTCGTAGCCCTCGCGCGCTACATTTACCGAACCATGCACCGCTGGCCTGGCCTGAATCGGCCTACGCTTTGGGGTAAGCCAGAACTTCGCTGCCAACATCGCAATAGCAAGCTCGCATGCACCGCGTTACCGTTTGCTTGTTTTCACTATATATGTTTGCTCATGCCCTTACTCACATCTTGTACTCGTTTTCCAACTTACTGCAATCCTCGGTAGCTCGATATATCACCCGTAACACTTGGTATCAGAGCCACTTTCCTTTCATACCGCACACTTCCACAACCATTAGAAACCAACTTGATTTTCTCACTCAAATGGACACACGCCCCTCAGTGTACTAGGAGTCGCTGTCCTCGCACTCTCTCGCAAGCACGTGCAGCCACGACTTTGCCTAGCACCTAGGGGACTGCATCAGGGGACCGCATTGACCTTGCAACCCTCACGCAAGAACGCCTTGACGAGCTGATGTGCCAACAGTGCGGAAGCGTCGAAGAAATTGCGACGCTGATGGCGGAACACGAGTCACTCCAGCGAGATATCAACCAGGCGCAAGCACAGACACAGACGCAGACACAGACATCACTAGCGCCGGCAGCACCATCCACATCCTGACACGAGAGTGTGGAACAATGCTCGAGTGCTGCTAGTGACGGCATCGTCCGCAAAGAAGCGCGCAATGACCACGAAAGGACTGGCAAATGCGGCAGGAACTCAACGGCGCGTCCACATCACGACGCGAAACGACAAGTCGACGCTCCCGTCACCGATGCCACTCAAGCCGCAGCATCTGCCGTGTTTCGACCCGGGTCAATGGGTGGTCCGATGGTTCAGGCGTGGATCCACACGATGGACGTCTTTTTCGACGTGAACTACGTCTCATCTAATGCAGCGAAAATTTGCTACGCTGTGTCATTGTTGCGAGGACCTGCCATGGATTGGTGGCGCGCCATCGTCACAAATCCGAGAGACTACGAGGCTTGACCTCCACGGGAAAGACCAATTGGACCCTGGGCGTTGTCGTATTTCATAGAGGTGACCCAGTATTGTCAGAATGTTACTTGTCTAGCCTGCAGTGGGGTACTCAACAGTGAGTACAACCCTTTAGGGTTTCCTACTTGTATCCCAACTCTTGCTAGTTCAATCATTCCCATTCTCACTTCTCCAATTCTCCTTCGTATACCACAAACCCTAGTCCTAGGGCACAACCTACTACCTCCTAGTGTGGGCCTAGGCTACTAAGCCTAGGCCCCACTCCTAGTATTCCTGACACCCCACTCCTAGTATTTTGACATGGTATTCAGAGCAGGCACGTTCCTGCCGCCTTCCTGTATGGGCCCACCACCTGCTTCCGCTGCCGTACTGTCCGCCGCGCGCCCCGTGGTGCGCGGCGGCCAAACCCTAATTTTTCATCCCGCCGCGCGCTCGGAGCGTGCGGCGGTTTTCTGCCCGCCGTGCGCCCCGAGGCGCGCGGCGGTTTTCTGCCCGCCGTGCGCCCCGAGGCGCGCGGCGGCTTTCTGCCCCGTCACTCCGCGAGTCGCCCCCGGGAGGAGCTGCGACGGGCGACGGGGAGCCGCGCGTCGCCCCCCGTCGCCCGTCGTGGCCCGAGCGACCTCCGTAGGGCCCGCGCGCGGCCCGTCCAGCCTGCGCGCGGCCCGTACGGGCTGCGCCAGGCCCGCGCGCGGCCCGTACGGGCTGCGCCAGGCCCGCGCGCGGCCCGTACGGGCTGCGCCAGGCCCGCGCGCGGCCCGTACGGGCTGCGCCAGGCCATGGCGCACCTCGAGCCGCCCGCCACTGCAGCAGCAGCCCCTGGAGCCGCCCGCAACTGCAGCAGCAGCCCCTGGAGCCGCCAGCACCTGCAGCAGCAGCCCCTGGAGCCGCCCGCAACTGCTGCAGCAGCCCCTGGAGCCGCCAGCAACTGCAGCAGCAGCCCCTGGAGCCGCCAGCAACTGCAGCAGCCGCCCCTGGAGCCGCTCGCCACTGCAGCAGCCGCCCCTGGAGTCGCCCGCCACAGCAGCAGCCGCCCCTGGAGCCGCTCGCCACTGCAGCAGCCGCCCCTGGAGTCGCCCGCCACAGCAGCAGCCGCCCCTGGAGCCGCCCGCCACTGCAGCAGCCGCCCCTGGAGCCGCCCGCCACTGCAGCGGCCGCCCCTGGAGTCGCCCGCCACTGCAGCAGCCGCCCCTGGAGTCGCCCGCCACAGCAGCAGCCGCCACTGGAGCCGCCCGCCACTGCAGCAGCCAACCCTGCAGCTGCATGCGACGCCGCTCCTGGTCCCGGTGCAGCCGCCTCCTTTTCCTGTCACCCGCAGTCTTGTTCCTCTCGTGCTGTATGTGTCGCTTCTAGCCCGCTCCGTGTTCGTTCGTCTTGCTCGTGTATTTGTTTGTTTTGCCTGTGTTCGTTTGTTCTACCTACCTACCTACCTACCTACCTGCGCCCTCGTGCCTTGTGCCTTGTGCCTTGTGCTTCGTGCCTCGTGCCTCGTGCCTCGTGCATCGTGCGCCCTGCTCCGCGCTGTTGCTCTGCACGCGCGGTTGCCCGCGCCCTCGTGCGCTCTACTACCTACCTGCCTGTGCCTGTGCCTGTGCCTCTGCCTGTGCCTGTGCCTGTGCCTGTGCCTGCTCGTGCCTTGTGCCTCGAGCCTACTACCTACCTGCCTGTGCCTGTGCCTGTGCCTCTGCCTGTGCCTGTGCCTGTGCCTGTGCCTGCTCGTGCCTTGTGCCTCGAGCCTACTACCTACCTACCTGTGCCTGTGCCTGTGCCTCTGCCTGTGCCTGTGCCTGTGCCTGCTCGTGCCTTGTGCCTCGAGCCTACTACCTACCTGCCTGTGCCTGTGCCTGTGCCTGTGCCTCTGCCTGTGCCTGTGCCTGTGCCTGTGCCTGCTCGTGCCTTGTGCCTCGAGCCTCGTGCCTACCTACCTACCTGCCTGTGCCTGTGCCTGTGCCTCTGCCTGTGCCTGTGCCTGTGCCTGTGCCTGTGCCTGTGCCTCGTGCCGTGTGCCTCG